GGAATTGCATGGTACCCTGAACAGCCAGAACAGTAATCAAGACTGGTATTAGGTACTGGCATAAGGATAGACATATAGATTGATGGAGGTTAGAAATAAACCCAGACATTTATGGCAAACTGATTTTCAACAAGGGTCTCAAGACCATTCAATCAGGAAAGAACAGTGTCTTCACCAAATGATGCTGGGATGACAGGATGTTCACATGTAAAAAAATGAAGTTGGACCCCTACCTCATAATATACACAACAATTAATTCAAAAAGGACCACGCACCAAATTTAAAAGCTAAAATTATAAAACTCTTAGAAGAGAACACGGGGGTAAATCTTCATGACCTCAGATCAGGTGTAGGTTTCTCAGAGACGACACCAAAAGCACAAGTGACAAAAGAAAAAATAAATTGGACTGTGTCAAAGTTAAAAACTTTTTTGCTTCGGAGAATATATTAAGAAAATAAAAAGACAAGCCACAGAATGGAAGAAAATACTTGCAAATAATATATCTGATAAGGATCTGGTGTTCAGAATACATAAAGAACTCCTGCAACTCAACAACAAAAAGACCAACAACCCAGTTAAAAATAAGCAAAGGACTTAGACATTTCTCCAAAGAAGATATACGAATGGCTAACAATAGCCAGAGTGATATACTGTTCTTAGTAGGAGGGCTGTAATAAAGGAAGGGAAAAAACCCAGAAAATAAGTATTGGTGAGGATGTGGAGAAACTGGAATCCTTGTGCCTTGTTGGTGGGAATGTGAAATTGTTTAGCTGCTGTGGAAAACGGTTTGGCAGTTCCTCAACAAGTTCCACACAGAATCACCATATGACCCAGCTATGTTACTCCTAGGTGTATACCCCAGAGAATTAAAAACAGGTGCCTAAACAAAAATGTGCACATAAATGTTCATAGTAGCACATAAATGTTCATAGTAGCATTATTCACAAAAGCCAAAAGATGGAAACAACTGAAATGTCCTTCAACTGATGCATGGCTAACTAAAATATGTAGATCCATACAATGGAATGTTATTTAGCCACAAATAGGAATGCACTGATACGTGATACATGGATGAATTGTCAAAACATTACGCTAAGTGAAAGAAGCCAGACACAGAAGGCCACATATTATATGATTATATTTATATGAAATGTCCAGAATAAGCAAGTCCAGAGAGACAGAAAGTAAGTATGTGGTGGCAAAGGGCTGTGGGGAGGAGCAATAGGGTGTGACCACTAATGAGTTCAAGGTTTCTTTTTGGAGTAATAAAATGTTTTAAAATTAGATGGCTGTAATAGTTAAGCAAAAGAATATACTAAAATCCACTGAATTGTACATTTTCAAAGGGTGAATTTTACGGTAT